TTTTTTTTTTTTTTTTTTTTTGCAGTACACGGGCCTCTCACTGCTGTGGCCTCTCCCGTTGTGGAGCACAGGCTCTGGACGCACAGGCCCAGCGGCCATGGCTCACGGGCTCAGCCACTCCATGGCATGTGGGACCTTCCCGGACCAGGGCATGAACCCGTGTCCCCTGCATCGGCAGGCGAACTCTCAACCACTGCGCCACCAGGGAAGCCCTATCTCTACTTTTAATTCCTTTGACTGTTTTGACAAATTTAGATACTGCAAAATTTTAGGATGTGTCAACTTCATTCCATTCTGGAGCAGAATATCAAGTTACCTAATTAAAAATAGAATCCCCATCAAAAGATTTTCTCTACAACTTGAGATATCTCTAAGAACAGTTTGATATAATTTCAAAATCAAATGTTGTACACCATGAAGGCTTCTCATTCTCCAGTCTTCCTTGACTCTTTCTACAAGTGTATGTATTAGCTCTTGGTGTCATAGGTTGGTATATTAGTTTTCTATTGCTGTGTAACAAATTCAACAGTTTAAAGCAACACCCATTTATTTTCTCACAGTTTCTGTAAGTCAGGAGCCTGGGCTCATCTTGGCTGGGTAATCTGCTCAAGGTCTCACCAGACTACAATCTAGGTGTTGGCCAGGGTGACAGTCTCATCAGAGGTTCAGCCAAGGAAAGATCCACTTTTCTCAGAATGTTGGCAGACTTCATCTCCTTACAGCTGTAGGACTGAGGTTCTTGTTTTCTTGCTAGCTATTTACCAACGGCTGCTCTCAGCTCCTAGAGGCCACCCATTGTTCCTTTCCATGTGGCCCTCTCCATAGTCCCTTTCACAATATGGCAGTTTATTTCAAAGCCAGCAAGGGAGTCTCTTTAGTGCATGCCAGCAAGAGGGAGTCTTATATCTACATTGTAATCTAATCATAGGAGTGACATGCCATCATCCTCATCATATTCCATCAGTTAGAAGCAAGTCGCAGGCCCCACTCACTCAAGGGGAGAGGGTCATACAAAGATGTGAATACCAGAAGGTGAAGATCATGGGAGTCATCTTTGAATTTTTCCCAAGGTTCCCTGGGAAACAGACTCTGAGTTTGAGGTTTGTGTGCAGGTGGATTATTGGGGGCTGCTTTTGGGAACAACACCTGTAAAGGAGTAAGGAAATCAGGATTGGATAGAGGGAGAAGCTGCAAAGAGGTCGCAACCAATCTCACAGACTGAGATGGTCCTTCAGAAATGTCCTGAAATGAAGCAAAGAAACTAGGCCTTTGTGACCTTCATTGAGCAATCACTGCATGTAGGCTGCCCCTGAGAAGGGGGCATGACCTTAGGCAAGGCAGCTCCCTTCAACACAGGACAATTTCTGAGGAGGTACTCAGTGTGAGCAGTCAGCAACCAATATTCCCAGCAGCTAGAAATGAGTGCCTTAGTTCTGAAGAGGGGGTTCTGAGTGAAATGTCACATTGCCATTACACTTGGTTAACCATAAAATCTCCTTAATTAGTACATATATTTCCCAGCTACTATGAATAAAATTTAGTTGAATTTATAACAACAAAAGTGTTCTAAGGGCTCGGAACTGTATTGGCAGGTGAGTCAATGAGGGAGGGGCTACTCAGAAAAAAGTGGTGGTTTTGATATATAATGTCAAGGGTGGGTGAAGGGGATAGAATTTGGTGGATGAGAGCTCTTTCATGCCTTTAAATAGCATGCAAAATATCATGCGGGGCCAGGCTAACACATTAAATCCCCAAAGTCAAACATATATTTCAGTAAAATATAATAGAATAAGAGCAAAAGCAGGTTGAACTTTATTTTTTTCCGACAATTTAATTCCACTGCTGCTTTCGAATTTTTTTTAATGAATTAATTTATTTTTGGCTGCATTGGGTCTTCATTGCTGCGTGCGGGCTTTCTCTAGTTGTGGTGAGTGGGGGCTACTCTTCGTTGCAGTGCACAGGCTTCTCATTGCGGTGGCTTCTCTTGTTGTGGAGCAGGGGCTCTAGGTGCGCGGGCTCAGTAGTTGTGGCTCACGGGCTCTAGAGCACAGGCTCAGTAGTTGTAGTGCACGGGCTTAGTTCCTCCGCGGCATGTGGGATCTTCCCAGACCAGGGATCGAACCCGTGTCCCCTGCATTGGCGGGCGGATTCTCAACCACTGTGCCACCAGGGAAGCCCCTGAATTTTTAAAATATTTATTTATTTATTTTGACTGCACATGGTCTTAGTTGTGGCATGCAGGATCTTTAGTTATGGCATGCAGACTTCTTTAGTTGTGGCATGCGAACTCTTAGTTGCAGCATGCATGCGGGATCTAGTTCCCCGACCAGGGATTGAACCCAGGTCCCCTGCATTGGGAGTGCAGAGTCTTACCCACAGGACAACCAGGGAAGTCCCAGGATGAACTTTAATAGGGGGAAAAAATCTAAAGTCCTCTCTCTAAGTTTAGAAATTACTTGTATAAATGATGCAAAGGGTTGCCATGTCCTAAAAGCAGTTCATGTGAAAAATATCTGAGAGGTTTAATTTACCACAGCTTTAGCTCTATGGCATGACTGAGAAAAATGATAATGCAACCTTAAGTTGAGTTAATAGAAGTCTACGTTATTGTAAATAACAGTTCTAGTGTACCCTGTGCTAACCAGACCTCATCTGTGCCCAGTTAAAGGCAAAGTTTTTTATAACACACATGTAGAAAAGTGCATGAATCACAACTAT